CCGATTTTCAGTTGTTGATATACGTAACTTAAGATTTTGGGGGTGTATTTAAAATTCTGCCAATGCCAAAATTATTTTATAGACCTGTTCTACCACCTTTATTATATGATAAAAAAAAGGGTACATGTAAACATTTTTTTATAGCACCGTGTTATTTATTTCATTAAAAAACTTTTTAAGGGCACTTACATACGTATGTATATATGTATTTCAGTTGTTATTCAGCCCCATGGGCGTAGCCAGGTAGGGGCAGTGGGGTGGTCGAGCCCCCCCCCCCCCCCCCCCCCCCCCCCCCCCCCNCAAATTTTCCCTATATATATTCTAAATTCCCTAAATTTCATTCTGGCTACGCCGATGTTCAGCCCTATTCTGCATTTCGATTACGTTCCTGCATTCCGCTCCGCTACAATCGTAATTTGGTATTCTGAGTTAAGGCGGATTCACCATTCGTGCCCGGACAACTCTGTCTCACTGAGAGCGCGACAAAAATGTGCTGAACACTCTTTGTTCGAATCAAATTGATTTAGATTTTTTGTCCAAACGATTTGATGATTCGGGTTGCCGCGTTCTCTTTTTTATGCTTTTTCGGCGAATTGTATATATTATTTGCCCTCAAAATCGTATGTAGGCTACAATATCATCAGCTGTTTGCTTCGGAGCAAAATAAAATGTGCCGAACTGAACGGTGAACCGTACTTAGCACCCTCTCCGGCAAAAATGCTTTGAGAGCAAATAAAAAGTTGTGCGGACACGAACGGTGAACTCGCCTTTACGCTCGAATCGAAAGAAGAACAGCAAGAACGAAAACATCCTCGAAACCAGATGTTTGCCTAGGAATGTGTGAAATCGAAACAAAACAAAAGAAGTATTTGCCACCAAACTATACCAGCTTGTGAAGTTAAAATTTGTAAATATTTTAAAATAACAAAATATATTTTACATCATTGTAATTTAAAAATAAAATTTTGTTTGTTCTTAATTTAAGGGGAAACATAATTATAAGTATAAAATCCATAGCCGCGGAGATATTGTTTGAAGAGGAAAACGAGTTCCAGATTGCTGTTACGAAATTTAAGAAACGGATATTTAGGGATATATTTGATCCTTTTCAGATGAGTGAAGAATCATAAGAAACTCATCTTGAATTGCGTTACTCTCCGCTAAAAGCCAGTGAAATTATAAACGTTGTTGTGGAAGATTTGAACGCAAATGATTTCGATTCTGAAAGCCGTCAGGAGGAGATATCCTTCCATAGCAAATTGAATTTGAGACAACATACGCACCTCTTTTTAAAAAGTTGGAAAAAACGAGTACAATAATAAAAACATCTTCTTTATATAACTAAATTACATTTTATGTTTGTATGTATGTGCATATATCTATTCATTTTATATAAAAAGAACAAATTGCATTCAGTGCATTTCAAAGTGTTATTTATAGATAGTGAAAACAAAATCGCCTGGACTTCCTCTTTCAAAACCCCGCGCAATATCCTTTTTGGGTGCTATTATTTCAGCCAATTTTTCGTGTTGCTCTGTTGTTGTTGTTTTAGACTTTTAAACATTACAAATAACATCGCGAAAACACAGAAATCGAGAAAATTCATTTATGATGACCAGGGAATGGATTTTTTTGGAAATTGCCTTTTTTCTGCTCAAGATATAGAGTATATTCGATTAAGAATATCGTGGACATTCTTTACTTAGCTTTACCTGATTCCATATACACATTTGATGTTGCCTTTGTTTGCTTTTTTTAAAATATTAGCCTTTTTTGCCTATTGTACCTTTAAAAAGTCATTATTAGCGAGGAAAAATCCCTCATTCCTGATAATATAAAAGCTTCAAACGTTCCATATTTAAATTGGGCTCCACTTGTATCAACTCACGCCGAGCGCACGTTTAGTACATTGAAGGCTGTGTTAAAGCCTGTTCTGTTACAAAAAAATCAAGTTCATAATGAAAAAAATCGATTAATAAATAACGAAGTAATTAGTGGTCATATGAAAATGCGCAAAGATTTTTTGAATGAAAAATGAGCAGGAAAGAATGTTACTCATACGCCATGTACACCTACTGATCCATGAATAAAAAATTAGCTCGATTTTCGGAATCAGCGAGCAATTCTATATAGGAATTGGATATGTAGTGGCGTCCGTTGAACACTTTTCCTGTAAACCAGTGTTATTTTTCAGTTTTTGCCTTTTTGAGTGCCTTCTTTTGCCTTTTTTTTTGCTATTTCAAGTGCCTTTTCCTGCCTATTTTGTTATTTTATTTTGCCTTTTTTATAGGTTTTTAAAATGATGCAATAATAAAAGGTTTGCTCAAAAAACAATTTTCTCGCTCCCTCTTGACAAAATCGGCTCCCTTAGCAAGGCACTGTGTGTGGGTTCGTGTGTGTGTGTTGTAAGGGAGCTAAGGGAGTGTCAAAACTCAAAAAAAAAAAAAAAAAATTATTGCATCATGGGTTTTTAGGTCCTAAAAATCCGTTCCCTGATGATGACTTTTACAATCATGCACATTATATTTTACTTTATCTTTTTTATAAAATTGTATTATTTAAATCCAAGAAAATAATATTCGAAACGTTCTACGTCAACAAATTTGCAACTTAGAAAAACGGAACTACGATCGAAATGTAGAACAGGTATAATAATAGTAAATTTCGAAGATTGATCGAAGCGAAATGGTACACAGAATACCAAAGTTGCCAAACGGAGAAAATTTCGATTCGAGTCGAAATGCAGAATAGGGCTGATTTTCTAACACACACTGTTGTTTATTTTTTTATGTTTTGATACCATTTTATTCTGATATTTTTCTTTGCATCTTACATGCGGCAAACAGTGTTGCTTACCTTTTTTGTATATTTCCGAAATTTCATTCGAGCGAACTATAGAGCAGAGCTACCTACCTACCTTTCCGTAGAAAAGTCACCAGGGTTCCCTGAAATGATTAATTTTTTGGATGTTAAAATTCGGTATGAATAAGCACGGCGCTCGGCAGTCGGTTCGAGTTGCACACACTAAGAAAAGCTCTGACCGAGACGCGATTATCTATGATCGAGTATATGTATGTACTCGTAGTTGGTATGATTTCCGTACTGGGTGCCATACCTACAGCGTGGCGACAAACAACTGTTACCCAGATTTTTTTGAGAAATAAAAGGGTCCTTTATGGATTTTGCGAAAAAAGTATCTTATTGTTAATTTTCCGCAGATTTTACTTTAGTTGTATTAATTAGTTTTTAAATTTTAATCCTTATTTACATTTGCCATCAGTGTAAACTTTGAGAGAAAAGTTCATTTGGCACGCAGGTCTTCGCCAGTTAATTTAATCCATATCTTCTGTAATCATAGGCTAATTTTCTTCATTTTGAGTCCCTTATACTCCCCCTTTGTCCAACATAAGGCCTCATACTCAGAAATCGAATAGACTCGGAACTGGTGACTAGGACGGCAATTCATTCGACCAAGCTTATACAGTTTTTTCTTTTTTTGTATTTTTTTATACAAAGCCTAAGAAAAAATACACCTGAAAAAGACTTGCGTGCCAAATGAACTTTGCTCTCAAAGTTTAAACTGCTGGCAAATGTACATAAATATTAAAATTTAAAAACTAATTAATGCAACCAAAGTAAAATCTGTGGAAAATTACCAATAACATACTTCTTTCTATAAAGGACCCTTTTATTTCTCAAAAAACAGGGGTAACAGTTATTCGTCGCCACGCTGTATATAATAACGTTGAGCGTTGCGCTTGACAGCTTGTTATACCTTTCATGAGCATGAAATGGTATTATAACTTTGGTCCGATGTTTGTAAGTACCAGAACAAAAAGAGATAGACCCATTAAAATGTATACTTATATGATCAGAACGTCGAGCTGAGTTGATTTANATTTTTTATATAAGTATGTAACTCCTCTATCGATGTATGCAGATGTATTCAAAAGCAGTAATCTGTCAAAGTAAAATTTGCAGATGTTCATGAAAGGTATGAAGCCTTCGGCATAGCCGAAGACAGCGCTGCTCTTACTTGTTTTTTTCTAACTTGTATGTTGTTGGCTACTGTAGCCGAAGGGTCAGAGGTGCGTTCTACCACAAATTCAGGTCGAAATTGGATGCTAACCCAGAAATGCGCGTACAGCTTTCAGACATAATATCGAACTATAAAGCTATATTTGATATTTATAGTGAAACTATTTCATTCTTCACATTAAAATTTAAAGTATGTATAGTATTTCTAGTAAAAGTTTTTATTCATATTTTTATTGCAGTGCCATTGATTTGTAGTAATTTGATGTGGGGTTCCATAAAATGAAAAGTAATTAGTAGGGGTTCCATTATCTTGAAAGTTTGGTAACCCCTGTTATAGAGTACGAGGTAGAGATGGGCATGGAACTAAATATTCAATCACGCTCCCGCCCATACCGAAATTCATTTTTAAGTTCTGAACCCGCTCATCCCGATGTTTTTTAGAATTGTACCACGTGTCTCGTGGGTCCCGAAATCTATTACTAAGAAAAATTCACATCTTTCGAATCAATTTTAAATAAAAAATAATAATGAAAGATCTGGCATATTCCGATTTTTTGGTTTTGCTTTGCTGTTCGTTTGCGTCTCAATGAATGCAATGAATGAGTGCATATTTCATACAACGTTTTAAGGAAGATTTTCTGAATTTGAATTTTATCGGGAGTGTCGTCAAAATTATTACAGACCTTCCCGATACCGCCCATCCCGGCCATTTTGAAACCAGCACAGTGGGTCACGCTGATCGAATTTGGCTTTCAATAGAACTACTTTTGGTTCGAACTACAAAGTAAGGACCATGGTAAGAAGCTGCAGCTTAAGAATTTATGTATGTATGTATTTACGTGTACAGCGGTGACGGGCAGCGTCTTGCTCGCATGCAGAGCTTTCCATACATTTTGTATAGACGTGCACAGAGTAAACGCTCTCTCTGCCTTTTACTGATATAGGGGAATGAATCATGGCAAAGCTCATTACCTTGTTCTACACGTGTCACATTCTCCGCCGCTCCTTAGCACTCTCTAGTTGCATTCATGATTCGTCCACTTTACTTCATATTCTTCAGTATTTCATCGGTTTCCTCAGGATCCTTTAGTGTGTGCCATTGAGCAATCGGTCGTCGTGGTGAGGCCAGCATATCCGACCAGTGCCGCAATTCGGTGCCAGTAGCCATACAACCGAGTATGCAGCGTCCAATCGGCTCAGATGTACCAATACGATCGTAATCGACAACAGTTACGACAAGACAAATTTTCTGATTATATCCGGTGAAGGAATTACGTCAGTGGCAGCCATAAAACAGATAAGTGTTTTGAGGTAAAAAAGGAGAGGATTAGTGAAAAATAAATATATGTTTTTTTTTATAAAATATCTTTGCATATTTTACGGTCACATATGTATTTGGATGTTGTTTTTTAAGTATATATGTATTCAGTTCTTAATTTACATAACTTTTTTACATAACTTCCGTTACTTCGATTGTATTTAATTTGTTGAAGAAGAAGAGTTTTTTTTTGTAGTTGTTATACTACTAGGTTTTTTGCATGAATATCTGAGTAAGCAAAGAACTAGTAAAGCTTTAGTATTTGTGCGATTTTCGGATTGGTTAGGGGCTGCGAGGGGTGATTAATTGAACACAGGTACACTTATCAATATACATATATTTACTAGCTACAAGCATTACAATAACAAATAAAATGTGTACACAAGTCATATATGTATGTAAAACCTCTATATTGTAACGTATCTTCACAATGTGCTTTTACTGCAAACAAACTGCCAAGTCACTCTAGGAGCGGTTTAAATAAAAAGTAGTAGATAAGTTTAAAAAAATATATATTAAGAAATTAAATAACCAAAAATTGTTTCCCTTCAAGTGATCGGTGCAAGATTTTTGGAACGGGCAGATTTTAATAAGCTTCTAATGTACTTTTATCTAGGGATAAATCGATACCATCAAGGTATTACTCAAATCTGTCCTTGTACATGTATCAAACAATGTATCGATACCTACTCAGTATCGGAAAGGTATCGAGTACTTTTACATAGAACTACGATTTTGCATATTTTTCAAAGTTATTGTATTTTTTTCACAAAAATATGCATTTTTACAAGATTATTTATCTTTTAATATTTTTTCATACAAAAATTGAAGACAACAATTATTTTTGTATAGTATTTGATTGCAAAAACAATAGAATATATTTTTACAAGATTAATGGATAGTTTTTTCATATAAAAAAAGTTTAAAAAAAGAACTCCCTTTTTGTTATATTTCCCAAAAACACCAACTTTTCGAAGTGTTTCCTGAAAGGCGGTTTCGAGATTTTGATATAGTTGTACCTGTTTTTGAGAAAATCCTCTCGCAAGTGACAAATGACACAACAACCGTTATCTATAGACGGACTTGCTTAAAGTGTTCTTACACGATATGTATTTGCATCTGTAAATGTGACTTTTTCAATACATATGTAATTGCGTCTGCCTTTCAATTTCACAGTCTTTATTTAACTATTTAAAAATACGTTCTTTGCAAACGAAATGAACTAACTCAGATGATTCTATCTGTGTGTCAGATGAAAATAGAAACATTTCTATTTCGTATGTACGTGCATCTGCTTTGTACAGAAACAAATCGAATTTGCCTTTACACGATATGTTGGCTTTCCATATGTAAAAAGTGGCATGTACACATGCAAATACATATCGTATAAGAACATCTTTACATAGTTGCGGAAATGTAGTGCGCATATTTTCGCATTCCTCTCGTGGGTTTGATTTTCAAAGAAGATGTTGAAGTCAAGGCAGATTAATGGCCCGTCCACATACAACTAAATTAACATACTAGCGGCAGATAAATCAAAATTTTATTTCAATAATTGCATTAAAAACTATATTTCTTGTCCGCATTTGATTAAAAAGGAAAATTAAATCAAATAATTTTGATTATTTGGAACAGCTGATGAACGACGCGATGGCGAGTTGGCCATCTTTCTGCGTTGTGTTGGCGTTGGCGTTGCCCAACTTTGGTTATGTGGAGACTTTCATATAAATGCATGGATTCATAGTCAGCTGTCGAAGCGATGCCAACGCCAACGCAACGCCAAAGTTGTATGTAAACGGGCCTTAATTGTGCCATGGCTGAATCATAATAATAGGTATGTATAGTAACAAGTCAGTACTAATTTGTACTGGAACCTGCAAATTTTTACTGGAAAAGTGTATAATCCAAAACCTTTCCAAGAGAGCATTGAATCGAGAGTGTTATAACACGGGGAGAGCTGCAAGTTGTTGCTAGTGAAATTTTTACTAGCAGAAATTAGATAGCAGAAGAAGAACAAGAATAAATGTCAAAATCCGCTATTTGTTGAATCGGTTAAGCGTAAACAAAAGTAGAATGAGTGGAAATTAAAATATGAATGATGTACTGTGGAAGTGCTTGTGTATATGGCAAAGAGTTTAAACAAGGCGCATCCATATAAGGTGGTAGCAATTGCGTAAATATAAAGTCCCGTGTATTTTGTTATTGCTTTTTGGTACATCAGGAAGTCAAAAAGAAAGAAAATAGGAGATAATTTTCGCCATTTCGTTTTGCTGACATCATGAAGTTACACTAGGGGTATTCTCGAAGTCTTGCACGATGCACGGATTGCACGAAATGCAAAAATACTATTCCAAATTTCGAAGAGTACGAGAACACCCCATTGCAAAGTGGTAGCATGCATGGGGAGCAAGCAGCGAAATTATGTATCAAATACAATAACAAGAGACAGCAAAAAAAATTAAGTGAGTGAGATGAGAGGAATGAGAGAAATATGTAGCAATTCCAACAACAAAACAACTAGCACAGGGTCGCTATTATCTTGCTATGCTATTTTGCAAAATATATACATGGGTTTCGACGTTGCATATTTTGCAGCGATAGGAAATGTTGTTTCCCATGAATTTTCTTGTTGTGTGTTTGCAATTTATGCAATCCGTGCAATCCGTGCTATGTGCAATGGCTTTGCAAGATTTGGAGAATACCCCTACTATTTCGTCTTAGATGACATTCTGCTGTACTAGTGTAGAGACAATAATCTATATATTAATACGCTAACGAAATCCCATACAAATCTATTCCTCCCTACTGCTCCTATGTTTCTAAACCAATTTGAATGATTCTTCTTTTTTTCGAAAGGTATTTCAAAGGGAAGGTGCGCATTTTGTTTGTTTTTTCAGTAGGTGGAGTAGGAGAGGAGTTATTCCGAAAAACTTCATTTATGGTCCGATTTGCTTCAAATTCAAAACACTTATTACTAACATAGGTGGCTCCAGAGCCAAGTTATTCCAATTTCCGTATAAGCCTATGAATGCCTGCTTTGGTTTCACCATCTACTATCTATATATTAATACGCCAACATAAATTTTGTCTCCGTTCGTTTAGCGATTCTACCAAACCGATTACAAAACCAAGAACACCGTTGGAAAGGCATTTTTCCGTCGTTTAAACATTTTCGAATTGTGTATAGATGTTGTTACAACATGTTCAATTTGACATGTTTCGCCTGTTGTTTCACTACACATTTGAAATTAAGCTTTGAAATAAAGATAAATATGAAGATGAAGAAATAAAAGAAGGTAGAAGTGAAGATAAAGACGAAAATTGAGACAATGACAGATACACAAGAATTAGGGTAACTGAAAGGGTAAGAACATTTCTTGAATTTATGAAGTGAAACTTCTTTAGCGGCAGTTGGTTGGTTGGGAGTAAATTGTCAAATTCAAGGGGAATAAAGCACATGGAAATGGTTCTCAGCGGTTTAGCGGTTTGAGAATCAAAACAAAAACAAAGATGCCTAGAGGTACGGGCAAAAACGAAGATCAAAGTAAATTTAAACACTTTAAGGTAAAGGTGAAGAGGAATATGCAAAAATAAAGATAAATACGAGGATGAAGACCGATATTGTTATCGATATAAAACCCGATATTTTTATCGATATAATAATCGATATTGCTATCGATAAAAGAATCGATGTTGTTATCGATACTGTTATTGATTAAATAACCGCTATTGTAATCAATATAATAATCGATATTGTTATCGATATAATAATCGATATTGTTATCGATACAATAATGGATATTGTTATCGGTATAATAATCGATTAAATAATTGATTTTGTTATCGATTTGGTAATTTATATTGTTATCGATATGTACAATAATCGACACTGATGATTGTTATATCTATCGATGAATAAATCGATTTTGCAATCGTTGTATTTTTCTATATGTTTATGGATATTGTTATCGGTATTTTTGTTGAAACAGTTTTCGACAGGGCTACCGATTTAAGAAGCGGAACATGGGAGGCGATCACATTACATGACATCACATCACATTATATCACATGATATGAAGAGACATAACATGATATTACATCACATAATATGATATCACATCACACGATATCACGTGACATGCCATCATATGATATGACATCACATTATATAGCATGACATCACATGACTTGACATCGTATGACATGACATCGCATTACATAACGTGGCATCACATGCTATGACATCATATGGTACGACATCATATGACATGACATCACAGGATATGGCAGCACATGACATGACATCCTATCATATGACGTAAAATAACGTCACATCTTATCACGTCATCACACCTCATCTCATCTACGTGAATAGATAAAGAAAAGGAGCAAAGCATAGATGAAGACCAAGGTAAATTTACCGATTTCAAAACCAAGAACACCGTTGGAAAGGTAATTTTCTTTAGATGAGGAGTGTTTTTATAGTTTCGAAATTGGTTGAAAATCGTTTTTTAAAAGTGTCCATATTTGTGTATGGTTGTTTTTGCAACCTGTTCAATTTAAGCTGTNGCAAAGCATAGATGAAGACCAAGGTAAATTTACCGATTTCAAAACCAAGAACACCGTTGGAAAGGTAATTTTCTTTAGATGAGGAGTGTTTTTATAGTTTCGAAATTGGTTGAAAATCGTTTTTTAAAAGTGTCCATATTTGTGTATGGTTGTTTTTGCAACCTGTTCAATTTAAGCTGTTTCGCATTTTGTTTTACTTCGTATTTGAAATTAAATTTTGAAATAAAGATATATAAAAAGATGAAGAAACAAGTGATAACGATGAAGACTTTCTTTTAAAAGTGAAGATAAAGGCGAAAATGGAGACAATGAGAAATACATAAGAATTAGGGTAACTGAATTGAAATTTTCCATAAAAGTTA